CTCTAACAGTTTTTTCGATATAGTTGTTTTAGTCCACCGTCTGTGTATTTCCGATGACGCCACACTACTATCACTAAATAATGAAACAGAAGGAAAATTTTTTGACCTCCGAGTGGCCGTCACCTGTAATTCGTCAGTTAACGAGTTCAACATCTTAAAACGTGCCGAAGTCAGTGATTTCAACTTGTGTTTGCCGCGGAGTTGGGTGATCGCACAAATAATGTTTTGCCTTCTGGTAAGAGTTGGGTCTTCCGCTACGTATTCATCGTCTCCTGCCGTATATCCTTCGTCATCTGCCAGGTATACGTCGTCTTCTGACGTATAACTGCGCGTACTCTGGTGTGTTTTTATGACAGTTTTAAAATATCGAATATTCTGTGCTGCCACTAAATTAACGTTTAAATCGTTTTTGTCACTTCTGATCACCTTCAGCGGTGGTACATTCTGTGACCGATGATCACGTAAGTAATCTTCCGAAGTTAGATCTTTAATTCTTAGTTTGGATGAGGATGCCAATTCTGCGAATACCCGAATCAATCGGTCTGGACAGACGACCGTTATTCTCGAATTACCATCACTGTTGAAACATAATGTCGATATTTCGTCTTCTGAAGTTGAGCGTGGAAAAAGCACTATCATTGGCCAGTTTAACGAACGCAGAATAGCCGCTGTTCGTAAAGCATCGGCTAATGCTTTAAACTGCGACTTGAGTCGAGTTGACGTCGCACGAATACTTCTCTGTTTAATCACCACAACTTTTGGCGTTTCGATCTCAATGTGTGCAGCAGACATGGAAGGCTGTACTTTTGTATTGTTTTCAATACGTTCGGGAATTAGCGAGGAAGTTTTTACAAAATACTCCGAATCCTCCGACGTCATATCAGAGTACATTTTTTTAAACTTTCTTAACCCGGACATTCGGTTGATGTTCTCCGTGTTAAAAAATTATCAAAAAAGAAAATATTTATATCAATTTATTATGTTATGCAAATGTCTATACAAAAATACAGAAGTACGATAAATATTTGTTATTGCGAAATACAAAACTAAAGTAATTCAAAATATGTAATCGACCATACAAATAAACATTCAAGCAAGTATATCCACGACAACTTATAAAATGCATTATAACATTATTCAAGACGGTCATTTTATTTCAAAGATACTATATCTGAATTCCAAATTTCGAATTAAGAATCTCATATCTTTTTACTGATTAATAATAATTCGTAAACCTGTGGTTATTTATGGCATAGATTAAATATATATTATTATATATTTAATCTATGTTTATGGTGAGTTATTTTAATACATTTCTTATATTTTAGCTGTCATAATATTTTATTAAAAACTATGCAATAAGTTATTTTGTTTATCATTATTTTAGTTAATATTTTAATATGGTTTATTGGTTCGGGAGTGGGAGATTTAAATCAGAATGTAGTTAGATCTTTACAACTTTTATAAACAAAAATTATTGGGGTCAGCCTAAGTAAAAATACTTTGTTAGGTTCAACGAAAGAAAATTTTAAGTTATTAGATGTGTTACTAGTTGATTGTGTGTATAAGAAAAAAATATTCTATTTATAATTAAAAATTTAAAATCCTTTATGAATATTAAAAATAAAACAAAGAAAAAAGAAAATTGGGCATTTGATGTTAGAGTAGATTAATTCTGAAAAACCGTTTAGTCAAAAATTCATAGACTAGATAGGTCCCAAAAACTAAAATTGAATTCCTAAACACATAAAAAGACATATATTTTATACAACTGGGAGTCATATAAATATATATATTCAAAAATGTACAGTTTTGGTTATTTTCATTACTTGAACAAAAAATCTACTTATAATAAAATATGTATAATTTTCTTTTTTTTTTTTACAGTAGCATTACTATAGTAGCTTAATTGATTTTTTTCTTCCAATATTTATTTATTTTTTTATTTTTTTAATATAATTTAAGCTGAGAAAACAACAAAATACAATTTTTGTCAGGTGTGGGGTTCGAACCCACGCTCCCGTTTGGGAACCAGAGCTTAAATCTGGCGCCTTAGACCGCTCGGCCAACCTGACTATATAAATGGAGATGTAAACTATTAATATTGTATTTACTCAAACTTAAATATTTTTTTTTTTTTTGTTCATTAATATAATTAAAAATAAAATAAATGATAATACACTGTTATAAAACATTCTAGTATATGACGTTTAAAAATTGTTAATGATGATATTCAGTGGTGATTTTTGATCTAGGAATTGGTATCCAAGAATAAACAATTATGTATCTAGTCATCAACTAAATTTTTAACACCTTTTACACATATTTTTTTGAATCATGTTTCTCCTAGCATTAAAAACTGATCAATTAGGATTTTTTAAAACCTCTTCACTGGATTGCCATAACATTCTAAGCAATTTGGGATAGACAGAGTAAAAACTATAAAAATATACATTATAATTTTTTTTTTTAATATTATATTATGTAAGTGATTTTTTTTTACCTACTTTTATTTAACAAAATGCCTTTAAAAAGAAATTCTTAATTAAATTTAGAAAACTAGCTAGATATTTTTTTTTCAATTATTGTAAAAAGTGTCATTTTTAGATAGTCAATGTAACAAAGTTAATTAGAACTCTAAATTTAAATTATTAGATAATACTTATATCGTATTTAATTTTGAAGATGACGTTATGTATATTGACAGATGTTAATAAATAGCTAAATTTTGGCACCTATATAGTGTCTATAATATAAAGAACAAGATTTTTTTTCTTTATCGTTATTAAAGCTAAATATGAAATCGACGAAAAATGATGGTTTTGTATTATCTTATTTAAATAAAAATTTATATTTTTATATAATTTCTGGTCTTCCCTTTTCGACAATTGTTAGAGAAATATGTGATGATAAAAATGACATTGGACAAATAACGACTTATCTTGATAACATTTTCGCATAGAAATTACATTCGCTTTAAATTCATAATGATCATAATAATAAATATGGCAGTTATTTTCCACTCATGTTAACAACAATAATTATTAAGATATGGTGTTTCAGTCACATTTTTCTTCTTCACGTGTACTTAACGTCTATAAACATTAAATTATTTATTTGTTGTTGTAATTATTAATGACAAATGTCATGCTTAAAATTATTTATTCCATAAAAACATATATTTCATTACATTAATACACCATTTAATGCTCGATATTTTAAAATGGTATTAAAATATTAAAGAAGGTTTATCAAAACTTTTTTTAATATAACATAAAATATATTATACGGCGTATTATATAGGCAATATCTTGAAATATTGTTTTAAAACGACAATATTTTAAAAAATTTAATTTATCAATTGAGGCATTAATGGACTATATATTGTATAACATATTTAATGATTAATCAAACATGTTCACGTATTCAATAACAGTTAATATAATCTGCCAATTTAAAATTACCAAAAGAAAAAAATCTAATTTTTGTTAAATCCTATACCTATGTATAGTTTTACTATTACATTTATTCTATTAGATTCAAAATTAATCATATAGACAATCACTGACTACCCAACAGTTTATCAAAATTAATTAATCCATACAATGAATAATATAAATATAAAATAAATCAATAATCTATAGTAACTAATTTAAATTTCCAAACAATTTATATATTTTATATATATTGTTTTATTTCAATGCTGGCCGTCAGAATTAAAGATATAAGAATTTAACAAAATTAAATGTAAAACTAAAAATCTATTGAAGTTAGCGTAATAGGATAAATATAAAACCAATAGCACATAAAGATGACTTAAAAACTAAAAAATGAATCTTCTTTGTAGGCAATTTGCATAATTTTATAGATTGATCTGTTCGTCGTACAAAGTGGTAAATATAAAAAATAAGGCGAACGAACCTAAAAATAAGGAATTTTAAAATTAATCATAGAAAAAAACTCTGAAAAATTAACTAACCTATGGATAAGATTCCACAGAGAGTCTTTATTTCAGTTAGCTCGCCTATTTATTTTTTAGCTATATGATATTTGTTCATAATCATGAGTTTATATATACTAAGTTTATACGAGTATATATGTTCAATTTTCAATAAATAAGCTGCAAAACTCCTAAAACACTGGTTTTGATTTATCTTTAAATACACTAAAATGTCCGTTTGAGAAGTCATAATTTATGACTATTATGAGCTAATATTGTCGTTAAAAATAAACAATTTGACTGGATATTTTATTTTAAATACAAAGCACTTTATAATTACTATATTACTATTAAAATTTATAAAAATAAATATTAAATGGTAATAATAGTTAAAAAAAATTGATTGTGTTTTGAGTAAAAAAAAAAAAATTTCTATACACTAATAATCAAAAATTAGCTCATTTAAGATAATAGCTTTGAATAATAAACATTAATAACAAACAAATATTGATAATAATTTATTTATAATAATGTTTTTAAATTAAAAGTTTTTTTATATCAAAGCTAACAATGGAAGTGTTTTGAAAGTACAGAAACTTAACGAAAAAATAACAATAATTTCAATTCGATTATAAAACATAATATAATCAACTGTGTTTGATTAGTGCATAAATAATTTACAAAATACTAAATATAATAATACTAATACAATTAATTTACAGTCATGTACTCAATACATCAACGATAAATATACAACTAACTTATTAATAATTTTATGTTATGTTTTATCTACATTGTATGACTATAGGTACATAATTTGTTTGGTGCTTACAAAATTATAAAACATAATAAATGTATCAATTTATAATCAGTTTAAAAAAATATAATATTATTTCATATAAATACATGTGTTGGATACAATTATTATTTATGATCAACAACTCTATTAAATCATAAGTACATACCTAAAAATTAAAATTAATCGGATCTTGTATATTTTATAAACAAAGATGCAATACAATATAAAATTAAACAAATAATATTACGATAATATCACTGGTATAATAAATTAGGCACTGAATTGTATTGATAACATACATTTTATTCATATCGCACAATTATTATAGTATAGATAAGTATGATACCTACCTAACTGTTTCGTTAAACATGCTTAATAGTTATTAGTTAAAACTAAAAACTATGTAAAAACGTTATTCTCAAAACATCTCTCAATGAAATTGCGATATATAGATTATATAATACTAAACCGCGTTTCTGTCTTATTATAGTTTATACTCGTAATAACGTATTCACAAATCTTTGTAACGTTTCAAAATGTTTTTCATGAAAATTAAAAATACCGTTAATTATAAACCAACTATTGTAATGATAATACGATAGGGAAATAAACTATATCGGTGTATTTGTATAATGGTTGTACCGATATCACAAGTAATATTTTAAACCGTTTCGAAAACTCATTTTGCGTACCTACTCTCGTTCTGCTATTCAAGTCGAGTAACTCGAAATCGAATAAATAAATAAATAATCAAATAAATAAATAAATAAATAAATAAATAAATAAATAAATAAATGTGCTAAAAATGAAACTCAAAATACGACTTTCGTGTTTTAATCAAACTTGAGATAACTTAGACAACTTCCATCCAAATTGACCGAGACCATTTCAGCAATGAACTATATTTAATAGGTATCAAAAACATAAAGTTCGATGAATTTGTCAGTAGAGCGACGATTCCGGTATTGACACTCTGAATGTTTCGATCGAACAAAGAATACAATATAAAGTATGTATCCAGCTCGACTAAGTGCAAAAACTATGACAAATTATCGAAATATTATGTTCTCGGCGTATACACAATAAATTATTATTATTATTTTTATGATAAAAATGCAACGCGCGCTTTATACCGATGTATAACAGTATGCCGCGCGCTTAACAAATAACTATCATCCTATAATGCTTGTACATTCCGCATACTAACTATATAATCGTAACTATACAGAATAACTATAACTACAAAACTATGTTGAGCTATACGAGGTATCGTATATATTTCCTAATGACTGAATATATGCCGCCATGCTGCGTCATGGATCGAAAATAAATGACGTTAATTCACCTGCGAAAAAAAAAATTCAAAACATCCGTCCGTCAATATTACTCTTACAACTAATATCTGGTAGTAATATTAGTAGAATATAATAATATATTAAATATGATAAATATATATATATATATATATATATATATAATTTTTTTTATTAATATAATTTTTTATTTCGGTCATCTATTGCGAGCATTGAACTTTAAGTTTAATCGATGTAGTTGAAAATATAATGACAAAAAATGCACAGTGAAAAGACCTTTCAGTGAGAAGGTACTCCGTAATGAAATAAATAATACGGTGTTATGACAATGAATAATAATATACCGTACACTACTCACTTCGATGTCAATACCGATTCAACGTCAACAACGGTGGATGATTCTGACTTAACGACCTCGGCGACTGTGGACGATTCCGCCAGTTTCTTCGCGTTTCGGGCTTGTACCAATTTGTTGATTTCGTTATAAGTGGTCATCATGGGCACCGAATCGTCCGGTGACCTTTGGGATACGCACGATGAGAATATCATCTCGCAATTCTTGTTGTCTTGACCGTCCTTGGCGGCTTTCATGTACTTGAAAAATCGCAATATCTCTGGATTCTCGGACGATGGTTTGCGCAGTTCGTTCAGCTCTCTGAAACCAAACATTTACGATTAAGATTGTTTTTTTGTACATTTTAAATACTTTAAACTATATTACTTTTTCTACTATACATACTACATGCATCATTATTGTAAATTTTTATTTTGTATCGTCAGCATAAAATGCTATTATAAATAAAACTATAGTATAATGTGTATTATATCATGCTAAATAATAATTTATATATTTTTATTTTTTTTTTATTATTACTATTGACCTAAGTAAAATAACTTTATACTTGTTATTGTAAAAAAAAGAAATATATACATTTTATGATTTACTCAATTATGTTAAAAATTACATGGATATAGTTTAAATATATTTAATATATTATAATTTATTCAAATATATACAAAATTAAAAATAAAAATTGTAACTTTTGAATAGCTCAATTAGTTTATACTATTGTATATACCTAGTAGATATATATATATATATTTTAAATCTACATCTACAGTTAAAATTTAATTGGTGGACACTATACGTTTGTTAAATAAGATAATATATTATTATGTATGAGGAAAGTATCAATATTTATTTTCTCAGCTTCAAATACTTCAATAATATAATATAAGAAATTGTAAACAACTAGTTGTAAAAAAATATGGAAAATTTTTCTTAAATTATTATATATATATATAATATATATATATATATGTATTAAAATGTAAAAAAAATGTAATTAAACTATATAACTCTCTATATCCACCACAAGCAATGTTTATTAGAGATAGATACATCATTAATGTGTATATGTATGTATTTCTTTTTGTAAATGTAATTGTTTGATTGATTAAAAAAAAATAAATAAATATAAACTGATAGTTTAATAATTAAATTATTAAAATAATTAATTTAATGTATAATGTGTTTTACTGTTACCTTAATAGGTAACTGCAATTTAAAAAAAAAAAAACCCTATTAAGATTCCAAGAAAAATATATTGATATTAAATGTGATTACATTTTATGGTAAAAAACACATACATTGTTTTAACTTGATACATGTGATATTGGTTTAATATATACCAGTATATTTTACGATTTTACGATTGGTTAATATTTTTTAGTATTCATTTAGTTTTAAATCAATAACATTAAACTATGTTAATAATAAAAAAAGTGAATGTAACTAAATATAAAAATTACATTCAAATTTCGTAATACGCTCGTTAATGGTTTTTATATTAGTATCTATGACCAGACAATTAATTAAAATAATAATGAAATTTGTGTTTACATTTATTTCACGTACGGTTATCAAATCAGTTTTCGTATGAGAAAAAATATTTTAAAAGTTTCTACAACTACTGATAGTAATTTTTGGCTTAAGGAATGATTGTTTTATCAAACTTTCACATTTAGCCTCTTTTAATAAAATGACAAAAATGTACCCGGACAGTTGTTTGCCTATATAAACTAGTGTAAGATGATTTTCTAACATATAAATATAAATAAACGTAGATGATTCTTTAATATATTCAATACATTTAAAAATAAAATAAAACAAACCGGGTATAATATTTATTAGTTTTTAAAATGTGTTTTGATGTAAATATTATTTTTACTTTTATAAGTAGATCAATTTTAGCATAAACTATTCAAGTATAACTTAAAAAGTAAGATTGCTTACTCTATAACAACTTAATTGTCTTTAAACTAACATATTTTATACACATTACACGATGAAAAAATATATACATGTAGATTATTATAGTGTAACCCAATTTAAATATAATAAAAAAGCTATTTTTTCATTTTAATTAGTATAGTATAGAATATGTTTTAAATGCAAATTTAATTAACCAAATAATCGTTCCATTTCAACTAAAATTTCTAAATATGATGTGAAACATTAGACAAAAACTTAACGAAGGATAACTATTTTAATGTGGATGGGAATAGTGTGAATTCTATTACCACATTAAATTGGTAAATCATTGTACGATACTTCAATACTCTATACACTTATTTAATGCGTACTACGCTTAACTGTAAATATGTTTTATAACTATTAAAATATTATTTAAATAAATATTATTGTTTATAAAATTTTATTTTATTATACAAATGACTTGTATAATTAAAGATTATTTATCTAAAAATATATATGACTTTTCTTAGTAAGATTATACATTTTTACTAGGGTTCACAATTCTATTTTAATTATTATGTCTTTAACCATTAAATGAAAATTTTAACAATAAAAAATTTCAACTAAATTTAAATAAATTAAAAATAAATCTAACATTGACCAGTCTACACAAAAAATATAATATATATTATACATTTTGAACTTTCCTTGAAAAACATAACAATGCATCTTCTATTGGGGTTATTATATTATTATTGTTGTTGATCTTTTAGAATAAGCATTAATTGATGTAAACGACATTAAAACTAATTTGTACGATGTTGGATAGTACTTTTCAAAATCTATTACTAATCACACAATAAAAATACTATCATATAGTTCTGTGCACTGCACCTATAGATCATTATAACTCCATTATTGTCCCATAGAGCCAATTAATAATTTCGAATGTATGAATCAAAATACTAGCTATTATAACTGCTTTATCATATTATTATGTTTTATAATAATAAAAGTAAAATAAAATTATTGTTGACTGTAGTAATATCATTATTAGCAATTGTACGCGAATGCCATGGTCGGGTGACGTGTTGTATTTTTAAGCGGAATAGAAAACAATATCGTTGTCGACTATTACTCTTTAAATACTACGAGTATTCCTACTCGTCCGTTTAAGTAATAATATTATTCTAATAACATGTTTGTCTAACAGCCTAATAAGAAGAAGCTCGTCACGACCTACATATTATGGCAAGCGCCAACAAAACAATAGGCACGCGATTAAAACACTTTTATGCACATCGGCCGAGTGAAAGTATCAGTGCACTACGCATGTACGACAATTTGGCAACTTATTAATTATAATTTATCGTTTGTATTGTGCTAAATAGAATTTATTGCTGTCCAATAACTCTGTGGTGCGGAGTATCAGTCAACCATCGATCGATCAAACCGCGTTTTTATGCATTCATATTCTACAATTTATTGTATGTACTAATGATGAATATTTACTGTCAGCACAAATAAAATTTGAAAATATGACGTTATTATTTTAATGCGGCACTACTGGTGCTGATAAATTTCTAATTTAGAATAACACTCACGCGGTCACACACCTACTCACTGCAAGAAATAATTTACATTGTGTATTTGTATTTAAAGAATCCTGATAACCACTATGTGTAGTTGTATACGTAGAACTTAACGCTACGATACAATAACGATTTGGACACAAACGAAAAAGTACCCACACAATTTTTTTTAGTAATAATAATAATAATAATAATACAAATCATGACTTTGTAATAAAAATATATAGTATTTTCTTGCAACCAAATATCGTTATTTTTTATGTTTAAATTGTTTTTTAAGCCCACTTAAAATAAGAAAAGTATTAATTATGTACCAAGAATTTTTATGACTCCCGCAGTCCCATAGTTCATGTGTAACAAATAAATCATATAATATTTTCTGATTATTATAATATAATTATCATTTTAAAAAAAGTCTATGTTATTAATATCCTTGTATTTCTTATGTGAATCAAAATTTTAAGTTCGTCGTCCATTTACATTGTATAATATTTATATATTAATATACTATAATCTGTTTGTAAATATTTAGTAAATTTAAAATATTTAATTTAACATTTATGTTTTCAGACGCTTACACTTAAGATCATATTTATGATTTGTATTGCTAATTGGTCGTTTGATAAATTTAAATGAATAATAAAACTATATATTTGAATGTTGTTTTTATTTTTTTGCTATTCAGTTAAAGAAGAAATTATTAATTTAATTACATTAAAACTATAACCTACACGTACTATAATCGTTATTATACAAGACTTGTTCTGTATATTTTTGCATAAAATATTTTTGTTTAAAACATTTTATTGTCGTATATTTTTTTTTATTTTCAATAACTTCCAATATTTTAGGACAATCTGTAAACACTGATCGTAATACTAATAACATCCCGAATTACTTTTATCTTATTGAACAAAGATTTTTATAATAATAAAAAATACCAATTATTTTAAGATATTTTTCGTCAACGATTAATTGCATAATTCTGTAGTCTGTATGCACATGGAAATAGTTTGTTAATCATATTTATCACTCCGTCGGCATCTCACATAGATTCATGCTAACGTACCTTTTTTTTACTTGTACTTTGTACTTAAATGAATATTAAACATACATGAAATAAATAATGAATATACCTATGCAAAAATCGGTGATAGAAAATACAAAAACATACCTGCTGAGTTGCGCTGATACAAGATTGCTGTACGGCGCGAACTTGGCAGGGTTCTTGTACATTTGACACACCAATCGTTCTCGACACGGTTCAGTCGTGTACCCGAGCTGCTTGTATACCGTATCGATCCTGGACAGCAGTGGACTGTAAAATGGATCGTAGTTGGCCAACAGGTGCGAGCTGGCCGGTATCGTATGGAATACCTTAAAGTCCTCAGTCTTATCCTTTGTGTAATAGTTGCCCGACTGGAGCTTGGTGCTTGACACAGTGTTTTGACCATATTTCAATGGATACCTGAAGTCACGCAATAACAAATAATCATTAATACATTGAAAAATATTAGTAACATGTATACATGAAGTACCTATATATACTTAATTTTTTTTTAAATGACTTAATTTAAGCGATATTGGTTGCGAATTGCATTAACGTATAGGTATGCGATCGTACGAAAACGAAGAATTTGTTTGAAGTGCATCCCGCACAAATGCACAACTAAGATGTAGTACCAAATATGACGATGAGTTTTGTATCTACGTGTCATTTAAAATTCTCTCCTAACAATTTTCAATTCAGCCGTGCCACTTAATTTCATCAATCAAATACTATATTTTACCCATTTTTTTTTTTTTATTACTATTATTATTATTGGATTATCAATACCATAATATTAGCTTTAATAGATAGTAGGTACGTGAATGCATTATTTCAACTGTAATACCGTCATGTATATGAATAACAAAAAAAAAATAAAGATGAATGAAACATCGGTATTATGTCAACTCGATGTCTACTTTTAACGTCAACAACATTAGTATACATATAACATAGTTAACATAGTGGGTAAATTTTATCTTGACCTAAAATTTTTAATTAAAAGCTAAAAACGAGTGTGTTATGTCGATAAAAATAAACGATTTAACAGAATTTTATCGTCATATAGCACCTATATAAAATAATATCGTTTTAAATATTATATGCTTGATTATATTTCTGTTTAGTCGCCTAGGACATTAATACGTGTGCAGGTATATACACGGATGCAATCAATCTGCTGATAAATCAGGAATATTTAAATACCATCGTAGGTAGGTATAATATATTAGGCATATGGCCTAAAAAGAATATACTGTTATACGCTGCACTATTTAGACCCTATGATATTTCGTAAGCGTAATGACTCGTTAGGATTTATCCTGTAACTTGTAAATCTTCCGAAGTCATTTATGTTTTTGATTAATAGGTATTAAACCAATTAATTGAACCCATGGCAGATGCTGTTCTAAACATGATATTATGACCGTGTGAGATGAGAGACATACGGATAATTAATAACAATATCTTGTACCGTTTTGATTTGATCGTATGCGTTCCGCATAAAATACATCTGAATTGATCAACGTTTAGACGGTGTTTGAAAAATAATAATGATTAACGAGCTCAGTAATAATAATATACGTATTGGTTTATCAAAAACACAAGTACACGCGCTAATTGGATTGTATGATAATTATAATATTAATATGTGTGTATTGTGTATACTACAGTGCATACACGTTTTATCGTTTTCGAATTTATAGGACATGCAGTAAACGCGGTTAATACTCACTTAAAAAAAAAAAATAATCGCCCACGACAAAAATGAAACGTATATATTATTATTAATTCATAGGTAAGTATACAATTCCAAAGATTATATAGAAATCCATGCCACGGTGCGTAATTTAAACAGCAGCTTAGGCGGCTTACTTTAATACCGCGTAAGTGTGTTAATAATAAAATATTTATCATACTTACACAATTTATCTGTTATCTACAGCAAAGTAAACCGTTCCGTTTATACATGTCTGAAATATTCCGACCTCACAAATAGTTTTTTTTTTTAAATTACTCTTCGTTGGATTTTTCGTTAGAAATCGGTAAACAACGTTGTGTGTATATGTTTTTTTTCTCGAAATTTCTGTCGCACTGAATGTTATACGTGCCGTAGAGCAATGTGTAAGAATTGTAATAACGGAGAAACGGAGATTCCTTGGCCTGTCGCGATCGATGTTCATTATATTATATGTTGCGTTTCGTTTCCGACGTCTTTCTTTCCCGTACGTATATACGATCGAATAATAAAAATATGATAAATTAACGATGTTTTGAAACATGGCGTCCAAGTTTGTGACGCGTGCTGCAATAGTTATATATTGTATACAGTGATATATTTTGTGCGATGAAAACCACGCGGCGCTTCAATTATTTCATCGGTCTATTATAGACGGTCTATCAATATCACAATACGAACGGAACAATGTACCATGGAAATATATCATAAAGAAACATATTAATAAAATACTAATTTAGAGTATGTATGAATTGTATGTTATAATAACAACGAAATCCGTGCACAGAAATATTGTTTTGACCGAAATTTAAAAACTCGAACATTACAAAATGATTATTTTATGTCCAATTAAAAAAATAATATATATATATAAGTATTATACTTATTTTGAAAATGAGCATATAGAGGTGGATGAATGGGTTGAATACTGAAGTACATAAAAACTTTTATTGCGGCTTTACTATTTTGAAACTTACTAATAACAGTTCGTCATTACAAACATTTATAAAGCACTTTCATCAGCAGTGAAAAAAAATAAATATTTTAAAATCTTGATTATTTTATTTTTGTATAACAGTATTAGGTTGTTTATCGCTGAAATTGACATATACGATTAAATTCATAATCGGATGAAAACTTTTTATCAGCTTATGATTCTAAAATATTAATTTAAACACCAATCGTGATTATAGATACTTGGCGGGTGATATTATAAATGGCATGCATGTATTACGAAGAACACGTTTACGAAAAATTCATAATTGCCCGGCAATAGTTCGTTGCTCGAAATGATTTCCAACGCGCAGATTGCGACAATATCGAAAAACAATATCGATGACTTACTCCCTAACTATTATTCCATTCATGCATGTGAATGTTAGTATAACCTAATCTCACTTTTACGGATACGCCGCCACATAGTGAAAAAATGACATACCACGTCCGCGGAAAGTGTATATAATTATATTATGATTTACGATTTCTTCGTACATCACGTACGCTATTAAATTCGTATATTGTAATATAATGTAGTTACATCTCTGTGTACTTTAATATACACCACCATATACCAATTTCCATTTTTTTTTACTATTTTAAAAGTATACCTTTATAAATTATATCATATATATTATATACCTGTGACACCTGTGGTGGTAGTTAAATATATTTTTTTTTAATTACACGGTATTGCTACGTGAAACTTTGACATATTCATGCTACGTATTATACTCAGCACGCCTATAACAAGACCCTTAATACTCAAAATGTATTAATTTTAGCATATTATTATACTTGGATAGTAAAATGAGATCTCTACAATGCTCGACAATATCAAAATAAATATAATTTTACACTTGGCTGACTCTAATAAATGCCAATATTGAATTTTTAAATTGTTTACTAATTTATTTAGACAGACGGTTTAAATCGATTTTTATCAAAGCTATAGATTATTTGATTTGTATCTTTTAGCGGTCTTGTTCTATAAGTGTGCGACTTTAATTCAACAGCAAATATCTCACCGTTAATTATATGCATAGGTTTTCTACCTATCTCCTGTTCAAACTTTAAGTCTTGAGAATATACTCTAAGAAATATATTTTACTTAAAATAAGTGATTTTACTTTCATAATTATACCGAAAATTAGCTTCATAAAATTGTATATTTTATTGGATGAATCAAATTTTTAGAAAACTCAATAATAAATAAATAAATAATTTTGTTTCAAAAATGAATGTCTCCGGGTCACTTAACTATAAATAAATTTGTTATGTAAGTCATTTATAAAATCGACGATGACGCATACAGTGGACGCCCTAGTATATAGATTTACACTCAACATTTTTGTGGAAACGCACCAGTGACTCGGACTCTTGCATATTATACATATTGTGTATGTAATAAAAATATATGTATATAAATATGATAAGAATACAATTTAAATTGTATACCTTTTCGATTAGTAATTATAAAACTATACGTCATATATTAATGTTTGACACACATTCCGTTGCACACAGAAACATATTCAATGAATTTCTCTTTTGGAAATGCGTCCACTGCGCGAGTAAGCGTTGTAGCGTATTGGCTGAGGCTCGAGCACCGAAACATCACGACGACCTTGACGGTTCGACTACTCTGGTTAGTGAATATTATATTTATTCAGTATACACATATAATGTGTTATGATGTCGTCGCCACGGCAGTTACGACTAAAACGATTAATTTTAAAAAAAAAAAACGTAAAAATATTGGGTGTCTATGTTGTCTATCCATAAAGTTGATACGATGTCCAGATGTACAACGTTTTTGTGCTCTTGATTTCTTATTGGCAATTATCGCACGTTATGTAGATTTTGTTCCGAATATTTTGATACGGACGATTCGCGTCTAGTTCAATGTCGTATAACAGTGTTGAAAATTTAGTATAGCTATAGGTAAGATTTTTTCCCAGTATTATTTAGAGTCATAAAAAAAATTTAAAATTAAATAAACGAAAACATATTATTATAATTATTTTATTTTTTAACATCAAAAATAGATGTGGTATAGTATGCTGTAAAAAAATTTTAAATTGTGGTTCTAGAAAAACAAAAATATCCTTACCTAACGGGAGTTGGTATATTGTATAAGAATATAATATATACTCGTTTTAATATTATGTATACCTAATAAAAATAAACTGTGTTGGTGTTTAATAAAATGTCTTATTTCGATTGATTCGTCTCATAATAGTCAATACGCGATAAGCAAAAATATAATCGATTAAACCTAACACAAAATATTTTTCTTTTTATTAACACATGTTTAAACAAGTTATAAATTTCATGGTAATTTGTTCTAGCCGTTATTAATCTATTGTTATTGGCTGATGTTTAATAGTACAGCGTTTTCGAAAACAATTGATTCAAATTTTACTTTTTACTGTTTTGTAATTTTACCGTAATAATATAAGAAGTTGATGAAATTTTGAAATTCTTATCTTCTGATGGATAAAAATATTTTTGAGAAAACAATTAAGTTTACACTCTTTAATAAGTTTGACATAATAAGGTAGCAACAGTACTATATACTATATACATTCTTTTCATAATGACGTTTTATCGGAACTCTTCAACTTTTGATTTCGCTCTCATCAGGCAAAAGATGGACACGACATTTACGCCAACTAGGTTCTCTATAATAATAATTGAGGTTAAAATGACTTCTGCCGACTCTGTGCGTTTTTCTCTTTTTGTTATTATTATTACTATTATTACTTTTTTATTATTATTATTATTACGACTAGAAGGAATTCATAGACCGGTCACTTTAGTCACGTACAAAACCAAAAACTGGTTCCACACACGCGTGCGCACATATACGTCAGCTCATCCGTGAGCTCTCTCTCCTTTGTATCATTTTTGGAGAGTGTTTGACGACGACTACAGCCGCGACGATGACGTTTGGTCAACCGAAATGTATTTAATTAATAACAATAATAATGATGATTTCCCAGTGCGTGCTCACTCGCATTATCTATAACACACACAATCAATGAAAAAAAAAAAATCAAACGCAAAAATCGCGCAAACGGTCGTTCGAACCAGATGACGTTCTGGAAGCACGTCCGCATGCCTTTCGTTATTGTTTTGTTTTTCTGTTCCACCGTCCATAGTTTCTACAGTTTTCCATTATATGTTCAATAATAATAATAACAAAGATGAAATTACATTATTGATTTTTAAAACATTTTGTGTTTTTGAACAGTTCGTTTTCGCGTCACCGTTCACGACGAATTGCCGCTAACTATCGTTCTAGTATTTAATTCACTCTGCAAATCCGCAAATATTATCATTATATTAATATAATAATACAGGGCTATTCACCAAATACGTTTACTTTTACCATCTAGTAATGAGTTAATCAAATTCTGGTTTTTTGAATTTTTAAGCTTATTTTCAAATACTTAAATTTTGTATACAATGAGCCTTGAGGAAAACCGTATGATGCGATAAAAGTGAGCACGTTCGATTAATTGTTTTGTATATTATTTTATATGTATATATATGTACATATATATAGAGGCAATAAGCACCCAAACTGCAGCTACTACATTCCATACGCATCAATACGATATGATTATATTGCGTAATATTATTAGACCGCATTTGATTTACTTTAATCGTAAATTTTTAAGAAGCACATAGCCACATAGGTAGTATAATTTACCGGAAAAAAATCTGTTCCATATTCCGATGATGTTAACGTCGTGATTTAAGTATATACGAGTATAAAAATATTTTAAAAGCTTTAATCTAGTTACCTCAAATTAGGTATTTACTTTTACTTGTAGGCATACATTTTTTCGCTAGATCATATAATGGGTAAAAAAGGACTATGTGAATAATATATTAATATGATACACTTCGGATGTAAAGATTTTTTTAAATATCATTTCGCATAATTTTGTATATTTTTACCGCGAGTGCGTCATGTGTATATCATACGCGTTTATGAACACGATTATTCAAATTTTCGACCACACGACTGTGTTTACGTATAATGACAACACAATACGATCGGGGCAATCTTACACAATGCGATAATACATTTAGTTAAAACACACGACTTATCATCTTTCGTCTTTAAAAATGGTCATGTGGTTTTAATGAATCGTTTACCGTCTACGCTGTGTACAATGTGTAAAACTGTAATGATACAACGCGATGAACATAATTACATTTCGCCTATTACTGCAAAATAACACTGTTCAAAAAAATTCTATTAATACTATTACACTGATATAATATACGTATTATACCATGATTATAGTCGATTTAGGCTAAGACGTCATCCGTTTAGTAGAAGCTAAATACACCGATATTTATTAAGCAGCAAACGACGAAACAGTCCTGCGACTGTTGATTGTGCGTAACGAAACGTGTAATGACATGAATTCATTTACACATTATTATTGTATTATTGATGTTGCAAATATTCCCACTGAATACGAAACAACGCGTTATCCTCCAATCTTCTACGTCAATACAAAAATATTCCCAAAGTTTCACGTCTTATTGCAATATAATAAATAATAATATATAAATATACAATACGGTATCATACATTATCAATGACTTGCAACAATGGTGTGTAATACACGATGTTTTTGAGAGAAAACAAATATGTTTTCATCTTCAGCAACTAAAATATTAGGTCAAAAACACAACATACTAAAACCGGATTTTTAGTTATAATATAATATAAGCGCAGTGAGGAGCACGCACTGTTGGTAGGTACACTATAAAAACGTATAATATAATAATACCTACATTTTTATTTCCCGTAAAACAAATTACAAATTTTTTTCTCACGAACATTACTCGCGCAATTTAAATTTAATTATTATTCAACTTAATTAATTGGGGATATATGATTTTAAACGCGATATAAACGATTTTTTATCTACATATAGGTATAACGGAATTAATAATTTAATACCTAAAATTTTACGCTTTACAGTTGAATTAAAAAAATATTTAACACTCTTCAAAACGCTTATTAAAAACTACAAACATTTCAATAAAGACAATTGATATATATAACAATAGTAACAATATAAGTACACATTTCATTGTTGTATATAGTTTGACTAATCTTAGCCTTCCCCTAAGGTTATACCAAAACTCGAAAGCTTAAAAAGAATACGACGCGACTTGATTATTTGTAGATGACTGCTGCAACTTTTTTTTATATTTCTCCAGCTGCGGGCTGTTTTTATGGTCATCGGGTTACTTCAAATAGATTTTAACGAATCATATTGTAATGAACAGAAATCTTCATATTTCAAAACTGGGACGCGTGGTTCTTAAACGAAAAATAGCTATACGAATACGTCGTGTGAACCGGATTCACAAACAATCGTGTCGTGCGCAATTTCAGTGTCAAAAATATCATGATATTATTCGTATTTAAGTCAAAATCAAATTTTTATATTCAAAACCATTTAAACTTTAACGACTGTCTTTTTATGAGTATTTTACAATAGAATTATATCAAATAATTGTGTAATCCTAACGGTAATATAATTGCTTCAAAAATATACTCTGTATATATTATACGAACACATCGTAATAAATCATATTATCATTCATTTAAATTCATAAATTTATACTTATCCGCCTCAATTAGACGTTTACTGATAGCTTTAGTTCATTAAACTTATAACAAAGAATAAAAACATTGCTAAAAATATAATAACGTTTGATTACTCAAAAACGTAAAAACGGCATATATTTTTATAATTTAAGCCATGCCCACAATATATGTGCCTACATATTATGAACTGGTGCAAAATTTTGTCTTTAAACATGCTAATCAAGTTCCCAAAAGATATTTTTGACAAATTGCGAATAATTCAACTGAAATACAAATGTTTAGTCAACATTATATTTTGTCAGACACCAGTATTCCTCGATAACGATTAGTATAAACAACTAACAAGTCGTGCACACGTTGACACGTACATTATTCTTATACAATATAGACAATACATACACACACACAACATATACGCTTTTGAATTTCGATTCGATAATGTAAATATTTATGCATATAGTATAGGAATATACCGAAAAATATCATCAGTTTAGCGAGTAGATTGACAATGTGACATAATATTTAGGAAATAATACAATTATTAGTTACCTATTATTGCTACCGTAGCTCGCGGTTATTGCATTCACATTGTTATCTGGTGGATACGTCCAAATGCCTTGGTAACCCGTTTCCGAACCAGAAGTGTCTGCGGCACCAGCTGTGTCGTAACCCAGACCGATGTTCGATTGTTGGTCTTTAAATTCAAAGTCACTCAAACCGTCCGAACCGGCTCCCGGGCCAAAGTGCGATGAACTCGATGCGAAATTCGATACACCTGTAACGAGTTATCACACTATAATTATTAACAGTCGTCAAATACAAATAAAGCTTTTAAAGTGTCAAGATTAATTAATGGAAATATATGTCATTTTAAAAACATTTAAGTTTTAAAAAATCGCAGATCTCCGAATTATTCTATTCGTATTAATCAAATTAAAAATGTATAGTTAATATTTTATAACTAATTAATTTTAAAATATATGTGTGTTTTTCTAGAGACACATAAAATGTTATTAATTTTCTAAACGAGAATTAAATTAAATTAAGTAAAAAATAACGTTTTTCTTGATCGCAATTATAATTTAAATTATTTATTAAACCACAAAATAAATTTTCCAAAATCACTCTTAATCGTCTGTTTTAATGATATACAGAGTAAGTAATACTCAGTGAAAATAAATCATGTAAGTTTCCATAAATTTATAATAATCCATTTTGTGATAATTATTTATTGAATTATAATTCTGAATCTTTTTTTCAGAAAGCTGATTCTTTCATAAGTATAATTACTTATGAATTTATTGACTATTTAATATTTGCTCACTCCAAATAATGCGTTATCAGTTATTATAGAGACTTTAACGCAATGAATACTTAAACAGAATTTTTATTCTTATTTCCATCTTAATGATGAAACATGGCACAAGTTTATTAATAAAAAAAGGAATATTTTATTGAAATTTGAAAATAAACAGAATAAAAAAATTGTGTATATTATTGTACTTTTTTATTTGTTTTACAGATTTATTTATTTTATATTATTTAATAGCGTAGTACGTATTTATTACTTAAAAATTATAACAATACAGTTTTTCATGTACTATCCACACAATCTACTTAAAAAAACAAAACGTTCAAACTTGTGAATGTATTTCAATATATAAGACCTATATTTCTCTTAATCAATTTCCTTAAAACGAAATTATCTGAGTGAAGAAGGTATAAAAAGTAATTTAAAAGGGAATCTAACAAGTGGTCACAAAGTAAGTAAACTGACACACCGTATAAAGAGAGCAGTGAAAAATAAAAACGTCTTGTCTGCGACACATATTTATTTTCTTATATTACTAGAAATTTTTATCTCAGTACAATTAAATTACACAATTTATTTTATTAATATAACAGGCTAATCAAATTATAGTTTAAAGTTTAGCAAGATAACTGTTAAAATTGAGACAAGAAATACAACATAAATACTAAATTTGAAATAAAAACAATTTTTTAATAAATTTATTGATCATACTATAAAATTGGTAATTTTTTTTTTTTTTAATTACCAAGAAAGAAGGTAAATAATATTATGTAATATATTTTTTTAATATTGACAATATTATATAAATAATTATTATTATAACGATTTACGTACCTTTTGAAACGACTTTTCCAACGCTACCCAATATCGTTGGTAACAGAGCAGCAAGTGCAATGGATTTTATGATCTGTGCACCGATGATGATAGGAAGCAATAATTTTTTCAAGCCAAACGCCAAAAAACCCAATCCAAAACCCGTCAAAAATGAGTTCTTACCAAAGTTAAATCTTGCTGTAACGTAAAATATAATATTTATACATAAAAATAGTGTGTGCCCATCAATTTATTATATCATTAAATTTTACTCGCGAGTATGTATATAAAGTATTATTAGCAATAGGTACAGTATGTAAATTTATCATTTGACTACAGATGTTATAACTTAATATGTTGATAAGACTACGTAAATAATTACGTGTAGGTATGCAAATTTTTACTGCCAAGAAGTAAACAATTTATTATTCAGTAGAATATAAAATTTAACAGTATATAGAACAACATTTTAATTCATAACGGTAATACCATATACTATAAAATCTAAATTTCAGAACATAAACGATTTAAATTAATATTTATAAATGTGATACCTACCTATTATATAATATACCTAACCTTTATTATGTAGAACGGTATTTTTTTTATTTTTTTTTACGTTGTTTCATTAATACATCTTATAAAACGTATGAACGATGTATTTTTATAATGTATACAAAATTTATAATCGTAATCACGTTTACCAATGGTTGCAGAAATTTACTACTAGCTAATCATTATTACTTAATAGTACCTAGGTATATAATGTAATTTTATAAAGCTATACATTTTATAAGATATAGATCATCGTGTGGACACATGTATTAAATACGAGTATAATGTTTAGTGTACAAATTTAAAATATATAGTTATCTAAAATTCTTCTTCTGTTGATTATCACCTATCAGTCACCTGATATCTTACTCCGGCTGTTACTTCTATTGGGGATATTATGTCAAAGAGGTCACAGATATTTTTTTACAAAAATTATGTACCTTATTTCCACTGTTAATTTTTTTCTATCGTCAAAATAAAAAATTATTACCCACTTATAAATTTAAATACGTATCTCTCATTCTATAGCTAAAAATATTGTTTTATAGTCGTTTATGTATAGATAAATATCAAATTTTAAAATTAAAAACCATTGTGTTGATTTACGGTAAAATATTATCTTATTAAATTATTTAGAACTATAATAACTTACAATTAAAATATAATAATATACAAATTATCGTAATTTATTTAATTGCTTTATAAATTATTAACATTTAGAGTGTAATGTATACGAATGTAAATAAAATAATTTATGTCGTAGTTTCATACATAGTAGAATAGTACAAATAAAATAAACAATTTTAATATTTAAAGAAAATTAACATAATATTATACTAGTCTAATAATTTGAGTGATGAAATATGGACTACTACAGAGAAACTAAAAAATAAGAGGAATTATTCACAGCAGATACGCCAGATCAAGTATAATAATGGTATGAATTTGACTGTTGATGAGATTTTATTCATATAACTAAACAAAATCACGTTAAACATTTATTATAATCTATAAACCAAATCTCAAATATTAATCTTTTAATTGTCTATGCATCTCTGTAAATGTATGTTCATGTATAATAGGTACATAAACTTGGATATTTTCTAATCATAAAAAAATAATTCAACCTACCATTCACATAGTAATTATGTTATTACGAGTATATGCTTTCATAGTATTTTAAAATCCAAGCTGTTATAAGATAGTTAATTTAAATAAGCGAACCTTTTTAGAACATATATTAACAATAAAACGATTTTTTTGTTTCATGTAAATTTCAACTTTTTAGTAAATCGAAAAAGACAGAATATCAAAATGTATAATTACTTCCTGCACACATAATAATGACTAATAAAGCGTTTAAGAAAATAATAAATTATACCGTAGCATTTATCAACTATTAAACAAATATCTCTGATGGATTTTCCCACCACCTATAACCTTTGAATTATATTTCTGAAGTAACCTATCTGCCTATATCTACCCACTTACGCAAACGAATTTAAAATCCAAACCACGCGACAAATAATGATACAAATGTATATTATACTCACGCAGTTGATGAAGTTTGAAGAACGACCTTCCGGAAGTCCGGAACATCTCAGCAAAGTCTACGTCTAGAACGTGCGTTCCAGCGTACCGGGCCAGCCTGTCGATCAGGTACTTCTCAGGATCGAGTTCACGGTCGGCCCGGTGATCGACGGTGGCGTTGGCGGTAGTATCCTCGGCGGATCGCTTTATCCGGACGCCGGGCGCCAACTGATACGAGTCGGCCGCGTCCAACATCCTGTCCACCGTGTCCATCAGCTGTCCTTGGAGGTCTTCCGCAGTTGTCATCACGGCCGCTGAATCGTCAGATCCGGTGACGGTGACGGCGCCGCAGAGCGCCATGGCCACTATCAGGGCGGCCGCATATGTGGTCCGATTCATCGCGTTATATCGCGTATATCGCTGTGTCGGATTGGTCGCTGTTCTCGCTGTCCAACGGCTGAAGTGGTCGAACGGCACGGGTCAGGCCACGGATCTCGTCATATCGCGGCGTCCACGCCGTTCGCTCGATGTCTGTTGAATTCAACAATGGGCGGCGACGGACCAACGACTCTACTGGACCAAAATAAAAAAATTATACCTCTTTCACTCCGTCGTTATAATACATATTATAAAAAATACGAAAACACTCGAGAATTCGTTCCTATTATTTCAAAGATCACGATTTTCGATTCCTTTCGCCGCGATTTACCGATTTAAGGTAACGGCGACGATTGGTTCTCTGCTCAGGATCACATCTACATAGCGACGTTCCAAAACAATATAAGCATCGTTAGGTAACGCGTGTGAACTATTTCAAAAAATAAAACTGTTTTTCGGACGGTAAATTAATTAATAATAAAGATAATAAAGTCGTTTTGAAAAATCGATAAGTAGTTCCTATTTAACAACAACGTTTTTTTTACAGCTGATTGGCCGTGCTGACAGTTCAAAAAAATGACCGTACACGGTTTATGTGTCATGACTGTTGTTTTGTCACTAGACAAACGATCGGAATAATAAATTATGGAATTCGCAGCACTTTAGCGGTGGACGTGTAACAATTTAATATTATGATTGTTAGTATTCATTAAAAAAATACACACTTTGACGCCGCAAGCCTTAATAGAATATAATCAAGAGTGTCGACAGATCGTCTGCGGGTTTTCAATTTATCAAAACGTTTTCGTGAATACGACAGAATATCTAAATTTACACAGAGAGGTCCGTCAAGCGGATAAGGCAGTATGCGCCGCGATGTAGGACAGTGCTGCTAATTAATCTTAGTGACGTGTATACCTAATAATACATGTTTAGAGAGAAATCTTACCGGTACTATATTATGTACGTACGGAGGCGCGCAACTGGTGGTTTTCGAAAACGCTGAACGTACATAATATCATAGATACCTATCCACGTGTATGTTATGCAGTGTTCCGGCGATCTCGGGTCCAAAATCGTAAAATCGTATCATACTTTTGTTTTATAATAATAATTAATATTATAAACATAGACTTGAACTTGACATGATCGAGTCAAAACAATATACCTACTTCCTATACGTGTTTCGTATCCGACAACGCAAGTTACTTTCTCGCCGTCCGGAGTAAGGTCTAGGTCAACGCCGATACTAGGTCGCTGCGAGACCTTTCACTGATTTTAAATGTTTTAATGCATTTGTTATAAACATAAATCTACGACGGCGGTGGTAGTTAATAATTATCATTAAGATTCCCAAAACAATAGCGAGGAAGACGCGATCATAAAAAAAATTTCCTATTTTTAATTGTTACCGGATATCGTTCAGTGCTAATAAACGGCCGTAGTGTAATAAACGTCAACTATTGGCGCACGTATTTATTATTAATTCGTCCCAAAACTTATGTGTTTTATACATAATATTTCCTAGTAAACATTCCGGAGTATAGCGTTTTTGTATTTGTGTCCACACATATTACTAGCTGTAGATGTTTTTGATTTATTTTGTTAATAATTAAATTAATGAAGAAGACAATTTAAATAACGTTCCATTTTTAAGAAAATTATACAGTTCTTCGTCCACGGCGATGGACTTAATTAATTGGATTATTTTATTTATTTTTTATTTTTTTTTTTTGTATCAACCGAAACACTCAATCTAATAATATGTACGATATAAAAAATATTGAATCCTCACAATGAATAATGTATATATTTATCAATAGTTATGAAGATAAATTAATTAGTAGAAAACAAATAGTAATGTCTAATAGTGCATTACATATAATATAAATGTACGTATATGATATTTATTATAATGATTATAATACAACTCAAACTAGTCTAAAAAAAATAAATATAATCTACTATACTTATATATTAATTTATCGAAAAGAATATAATTATAACTATTATAGGTATTTTCGATTATATTTTTATCAACGAGTGGTTATTACTTATTTTTGCGTAAATTACGTAGTTTTATTATCACAGATATTTTTTTTATGGCTTATTAAATTTTCAAATAACAATATAACATACATAAAACATATAAAACGTAAGCAACATGATACATTATACCTCTATTTAAAGCTATTTACTCTACTTTTCTTGGTTCATTATTTTATCTGCATAATATTATCAATTTAGCTTAATATTATTCAACATATACAATATGGAGCCTAAAGAAAAACTTTGTAAAAAAAAAAATAAATACATATACTATACTTGCAGTTTATTTCATCATGTTTTTAGCATAACATCATAATTATTATGCATCAATATACAACAGTATTAGGTTACAATTTGTAGTACCTAATGGTTTATGGGAGATTCAGTATAGCGATGAACTTGAAATCTAACATGTTTGAATACCATAACTTCTATAATTTTACAGCTCGAAGATACCCCAAATCTAGTCTATTTACGCTAATGTATTATGATAATATCATATATCATAATATACATGATATTACATATATTTAAAAAAAATTTATTACTGTCGGCTTAATTATCACCGTACACAAATTAAAATTATAAAATCGAATAACTGTTAAATCAGTGCTCAAACTGACAAAACTAGAAATACGCGTTTTTGACAAAGTGCATGACTGGTTCAACCATTGGTAACATTTTTTCATCTGATTTCTACCGTTATAAGATAATTTCTAGTAAAAAAAATTTATATTACTTACACCAGTTAAGTCATAACATAAGAATATCCATTTACAAACACTATATATATTATTTACCAAAATTCGTATAAGAAGATAAGTTTATCACAGTTGTGATATCTTTCAAAACCATGTGATTTTTGTTATACTTTATTTAGTTTTCAGTTAAGTATGGTAATTATAAATTATAATATTATACAATATTTTCACAACTAATATCAAATTAATTTACGTTATGATGTGTTAACTTAGCCGCTGCTAATTTTTTTATATCGTATTCAAAAGTGCTATATTTTTGTTTATTTTCATGGTATGAAATTTCTACAATGATAGAATAAAAATGTTCGTGTTTTTATTTTCAAGACTTTAAAACACTCTACTTCCAATGTGTAAGATTTAATATAAATTCCGTTCGTTGATTGATATATGTGCACCTCAAAATAAAACAGTTTGCCGTGAAATATTATAAAACTTTGTCAATATATTGTCATATTATAGTTTTTTATCAAATAAAATAAATTTTTTTTTAGTTTAGCTTCTCTTGATTTAATTTTATTTTAAAAAAGTTTTTAACCATGCCAGCGAATGAAACTTGCCACCAGTCTTAACCCTGGGTTAAAATGTGAAGAAAAACATCACTCATACTGAAGACTAGGACGAAACTCTTATATACTGCCTCAAGAAAATCGTATCATTTATATAGGGAACAACCCCCGAGCAACATTGGATAAATCAACTAGTTGTATTATATAACATACTTTCATAAACTACATACTAAGATTATAATTTATGAGCTATAGATACAAAATTGAAGTCCGGGATTCTAAGAATTATAACACAAACATACAATATAAGAATTTAGATTTTAAAATTTTCTATTTTCTATATTTAAAACCTAGCAAAATAATATTTATAACTATAACATCGGATTAATATTTTGATAAAAGGTGGTTATTATGCATTATTGTTTTTTTTTTAAATTTTGCACAAGACTTGTCACATCAGATAACGCGTTAAACAAGTTTTATGGTATAACGTTTTTATTTTATATTTTCCGTTAGTCTTTTGGTTTTAAATCACATTCCTATAAAGGATAATTATACAGATAGTGACGTAATTGGACACAAGTTATTTTTACAGTTTATGTATTATACAGGATAATTCACTAAATATTCTCCACCCCTATTTTTCATTTAATAATGAATTCACTCAAAATATGAATTTTTTTTTTGAATTCTTTGATACACTTAATGACCATTTATCCAAATTCTTAAGATTTTTTTGTAATATTTAAAGAATGTCTTGTAGGCTGTAGCAATACAAACTTCTGTTTTTCAAAGAACTCACCTTTTTTACTGTAAATTATTTAGTGGATAATTGTTTTGGAAATAATGATTTACCTAATTCAAAATTCAGATGAATAATTTTTAAATTATCAAAACGTTTATACTAAAAATAATAGTATTTAAAAACGGTTTTATATTGGATTTAGCGTATATTATATTTGAACCATTTTAACTTATTAATTATTAACATATTCAACTCTGAACTTCCACGTCTTTCAAATCCAATATCACGGGCTTATTATTCTCATTAAATTAAATTACTCAAAAACTACTCATTTGAACATTGATTTGACACGTAAAACTTTTCAACCAAGTAATTCACACTAAAAAAGGGGTTTTTATTTTAAAAATAAAAGTTTTTAGTTCACTGGACAATCCTTAATATAATATAATATATTTTTTTTAAATAATAAAAATTTAATTTCGAATAACTGCATTATTAAATAAAAAAAAAAAGCGAAGATGCTTAATTTATCACTCTGTATAGAAGTACATCTTAAGTTTAAATGTATGGTTATTTTTTTAATAATTTTTCATTATTGGCTGAGGAATCGCAAATTTCCTACATTACCAGTTCGGTTATAATTGACATAATATATTAACTCATACAATACCTATACGGAATTCCAAATTTTAACATAGTAATCAATAAGTAGATACGATAATGTAATAAACATGAGTACACCCGGTCCCGGTGGTAACCGTTATTATGCCACCACCGCGATAGTCGTAAACCAGTATATTATTTACTATATCGTATAATATAACGTTAAAACAGTAAACTATTGCGTATTCGTGTTTTTCCAGTTTCGATCAGCAAACATATTATGCGTTCAGTGACGATCATTAAAATATAACGCAAATAGCCGTATCACTATTTTAAACCGTTTGGATGTTCATTGAAATGAATTGTCATATATCTGGTTTTCGTCGATTATGCCACGCGTTTAGTTTACCCACACGAATTCGTCAAAAAAAAAAAAAAAAACCAAACACAAGAAATTGTATTACGCATGTACATGGATAATACGCTCGATAATACTCGAACATCGCTCTAGCAGTTCTAGGTGACGTCATA